AATTGCATCCTACTCCCATCTTTGTAATGTTATGTCAATCTCTCGTCCAGGAGACAAAGGTTTCTGCTGAATTAATAAGATAAATGTTGAAAGCATATTATATGCAGCCTTTAATGCTAATGCAAGAAAAATCGTAATTTTGAGGAGGATACGTGAATTTGAAAGCCAAAAAGTATCTACCTCCCCGATTACAAATTACTTCTATTCGCTTCTATGGAATGTCTCCTTTCTTTCTTTCTTTCTTTCTTTCTTTCTTTCTTTCTTTCTTTCTTTCTTTCTTTCTTTCTTTCTTTCTTTCTTTCTTTCGGAAGGATGGAGACGGGAGGAACTGGTGAGTAGCCAGTTTCTGCTGTGAAGATGCCATGTTAAAGGACTTTTTTCTTTACAAATGAAAAGGTAAAACGTATTAGGAACTTTCCCGACGTGCTGAGAAAGGTCTCTAACAGGTTAAGGGTTTGGGTCCCGCTTCTAAAAAGAGGGCTATCGTAACTGAAAGAGTGGTTAGGCAGGGGAAAGGGAGGCTGCTCTACTGGATGGCCCAGGCTACATAACAACTAGGTGAGCTGCTATTCTCGCCTTTAAACGTCGAAATAGGTCGGTGGGGTTTCAGAGCAGCCCCCTGATGCTTTCTGTATGGACTGCGGTTCCCCGCAGAATCCGGATCTAATCCAGGCGCCCCCGCCTCTGCCTCCAGCATCCCCCCGACTCCTTCTCACGCCGGGAGAAAGCTCCGAGGCTGCTCTGCAAGTTCCCTTTAGTTCTGCCTGCTCCTTTGGGTGGGGTTTCCCCTCGCGTTCTCCAGCGGTTTGCTCCAGGAGCTGGAGGGGGGTTCACGGCTCCTCCTCTGGGACTCGTGGGTGCGCTGGGTGGAAGATACCCCGCCGCGGGAAAGCAGGTGCCACTGGGCAGAGAAGCAGCGAGATGCAGCCATAGCCGCGGGCATTGTCCATCTGGACTGGTATCCCCAGGGGGTCCATCCCAGGCACAGCGAGGCCAGGGCTGCTCTCACCCCAGGGGCTGTGCAGGGGGGAGCTGCGGCGGATCGGATGGTTTTGTGTCCCCCTCCCCGCCCGCCGGGACAAAGCACCGGAGCGCTCGGGGATTCGCCGGCCACAGCGCAGCGCAGAGCGACAAAGCAGGGCGCCAGGGCGCTGTCCCATCAGGACCACCCCGCTTGCCTGCAGCGGCCGCGAGGGCTGCAGGGAGGCGGAGCGCGCTGCCCTGGGACTTGCCCCAAGCCGGGCGGATGGTTTTGTGTCCCCCTCCCCGCCCGCCGGGACAAAGCACCGGAGCGCTCGGGGATTCGCCGGCCACAGCGCAGCGCAGAGCGACAAAGCAGGGCGCCAGGGCGCTGTCCCATCAGGACCACCCCGCTTGCCTGCAGCGGCCGCGAGGGCTGCAGGGAGGCGGAGCGCGCTGCCCTGGGACTTGCCCCAAGCCGGGCAGATCCCCTTCCCGAGAGGAGCCACTTTGGGCCTGAGCTGTCAAACTCCCGGGGTGGCCATCAAGCCACAAGAAGGGACCCCTCCACCCTCCCATCCCCCCCCGCGAACTTTTCATCCCTCGTGGATGCGCCTAGCTTGGTCTAAATCTCCCCTTGCTATCTCTTATCCCACCCCTTGCTATCTCTTCCTGCCAGCATGTGTTGGCTCAGGGGAAAGCCCCTGGCTTGTGCCAGGACTACGGCAGAGAGGTTCCCAGCAGCGAGGGAGCATTCGAGTGTCCCAGACGAATGGGGAGGGGGAGGAATGCAGGAATATTTCATTTTAGGGAATAATTCCGTGGGGCGTTCGTAGTTTCTTGGCGTCAGGAGAGGGGGGGGGATAAGGGAAGAGAGAGAATCCTGGCTCAAGTCACGCTGGAGGAAACGGAGCGCCAAACCCATTTCACTGGGGACAAGAGGATCTGTGGGTTCCTAAAATTAAAGAAGAGCAAAACCCCAGCAGCAATGGCCAGTAGAATTGCCCGTGACCTGGGAAGCCAGAGGGACCAGAAAGGACCATGTTCAAACTCCAAAGTTCTGCCTCGCTCGCGGCGCAGCCCAAAGTTTGCAGAACTTCAAGCAGGGCTTTACAGATCCAGAGACCCGCTCCCCAGATCGCCGAGTAAATAAGAGGGAGGAAAAAAGATTCTCAAGTGCACAAGGGAAACCCATGCCGGGCAGTGGCTTGGAAAAGCAGCGAGATACTTGCAAGCAGGTGAAAACTGTCTTCAGAGCGAGCCGGCGGGTTGGCAGCTAGACGTGCAGCTAGACGAGATACAATCATTTTTGTATATCGAGTTCGGTCTTCGCTAGGGAATAAGAATGGCTACATCTAATCACTAGGCGATCTCAAGACACTGCAAAACCTCGGCCTAGCCTCGTTAACAGCTGCAGAGTGATGCTTCCTGGCTAGGAAAGGGAGCTAAATACGTCCCCATAACCCAAGCGAGTATCCCGGCTAGGTCCCTGTCCAGGATCATCACGGGAGCGCATCTCATGGTGCAAACTTCTAAAAGGATTTTAGGCTGGATGCTGCGTCTTTCTGCTGAGAGCCAGGCTGCGGCCTGACTAGATATTCCTGTTGTCCAGGCAAAAATCCCAACTTAAAAAAGCACGAGGAAGAGGGCTTCATTGGGATCCCATCAAATAAAAGGCGCCTCTTCTAGTGGAAAGCCACCAGCGCGCTGTGGGAGGATGCGCTCTAAGTATTTGGTTCTGGGACCCCAGGAAGGGGGGGGGAGGGCAGTACTTGCAGGTAGCGAGCAGAGGGGGAGCGGGAGGGGACGAGAGGCAGGGAGAGCGCCGAGCCTACTAAAGAGTTAAAGGGAGGGGACGTGGGCTGTCACGCGTCATTGGGCAGATTATGTGCAGCAGACAAAAAGTGTGCGTCTGTGTGCCAGTCAGTCACTGCATCGGGTCCATCTGTACAACTCTGGCTCCTGCTCGCTCGCTCGCTCCTGCCACCCCTTTGCACAGAGCCCACAGGACAGCAGCCCTGTCATCTCCCCCTGCCATGGAAATACACTGATACAAGAGACACCGGGGGAACACGGAGAGCCGCTCGCCCTTGGCCACTTTCGGGTTCCCTGGCGGTTCGGATTATTTTCAGACCTGATTCCTGGTAAGTGCAGGTGCAGGCGGGGAGAGCTGGGGTCGGGGCTCTTTTCTCCCCCCCGCCCCTTCCTTATTTTCTAGCAGTAAGAAAGAGGGGGAGGCACCGCGCCAGCCCGATCGATACAAAGGAAAGGAGTTTGAAACAGAAAGAAATGGGGGGGTTTCCCGCGGCGCTGCGGAGAGGCGAACAATGACTGGAGGGGGCGAGCGCAGCTGGCTTTGGAGAAGAGGATCGAGGGAGAGAGAGGACCAGGGGGGATGGTTTTTTGTTAAGCAGCGAGGACAAGGAGGAGGACGCGAGGCAGAGCGCGCGGGGGTCTCCGCGGGGTGCGGCTATTCTTGGTGTGAGACCCCTGGTCCCGAGGACCGTTCGCCACTATTGTTACGCACCGACTGGCATTTGAATGGCCTGCCTGCGGATTGGTGCCCTGCGTGACGCTACGAGCCTCCACCACAATGAAAAGCTTGTGGGGAAAGAGACTTGCCATGACACAAACAAACAAACAAACAAGGGCGGGCGGGCGAGCCGTAGCAGACCTGCAGGAGAGGGGAAGGCGAGGAGGGGGACAGGGACATGGCAAAGTCTAGCAGCGAGGGGCGCAGATCGGATACGGGCGAGGGGGTCTTTAAGCCACCGTGGAATCATCCATGAAGTTGCACGGTCGAGGGTTTAATTTCGCTGGGTGTGAGAGGCAAATGGGACACGGCGTAGGGCAAAATTCAGCGGCGGTTTTGGAAACGACCGTTTCCGAGGCACAGTCCGTTTTTGGGGAGGAAAAAAAAAATCAGTTTTAGGCTTGACGTGCATAATGGGATGATAAATCGCAGGAGGCTAAATAAGCGGCCGGAACAATATTATTCTGTAATCATCTGTTTCCAGCCATTAGGGTCCGTTATTTGCGGGTCCTTCCATCGCTGGCTTGTACAGAAAGAAGTTACGTGGCACAGTTATCTATTGAACTATGGGGGGAACTATTGGAAAGGGGTTTGTGCAAGCTGCTGGCAGAATTGCTTTTAAAGAAAAAAAACAAAATACTATAGATCGATGCCACTTCAAAAGCAGCGAAAACCTAAGCGATCTGTAAATGGAGGCGGAATTCGCAACTATTTGTGCAGCTATTCATCTCTATCTTGGCTTTGCAAACAGTAGACTAGAGGATCGGTAATTTCTTGAAAAATCAAGGGGTTTGTGCAAGCTGCTGGCAGAATTGCTTTTAAAGAAAAAAAACAAAATACTATAGATCGATGCCACTTCAAAAGCAGCGAAAACCTAAGCGATCTGTAAATGGAGGCGGAATTCGCAACTATTTGTGCAGCTATTCATCTCTATCTTGGCTTTGCAAACAGTAGACTAGAGGATCGGTAATTTCTTGAAAAATCCGAGAATGGTTTAAAATGGAAAGACTCTCCCCCCCTCCCCCCCCCCC